ATCAAAAACTCGTCCCATGGTCTATCTCATTGCACTTCGACCCGTGATCCTTCCTTGGTGAGCTATCTAGTTGCTCAGTAATTAGACTGGGAATATTGCTCCACCAGACCCATACTGGTAGATTAACTGTAGTGCACTTCCTGGTCTGCGGTTGTGGCCAAATCAATCGTATCGTTAGTCATATTCTAATCATACCTTTTCTTACTGGTGCTCCGTGTGAGCTATGGTTATGTTTTCAGTCATGGTGGAAGGCAGTGACGGCAGTATGGAGGAGAAGGTTATTAATGAAGAGTACAAAATATGGAAGAAGAACACGCCTTTCCTCTACGATATGGTGATGACGCATGCCTTAGAATGGCCCAGTCTCACAGTGCAATGGTTACCGGACATACAAAAGGTATTTTATTTAGATGTTGTTAGGGCGTTTTTCAAAATTGTTTTCGAAGAAGCGTGTCAGATTAAACACTATTCTACTCCATTGACATTTAGGCAGAGAATGGCGATTACACCACCCAGCGACTCATCCTCGGAACTCACACCTCAGACGAGCAAAACCATCTTCTTATTAGTAAAATCCAGCTACCTACCGATGATGCACAGTTCGACGCGTCGCGGTACGACACCGAAAAAGGAGGTTAGTGGGGAAATTAGTATGCTAAAACTTCTGAAGAAGTCTGTTTTATTTAAATTACTTGTCTTCTTCAGAGTTCGGAGGGTTTGGAGCGATTACCGGAAAGGTGGAGACAGAAATAAAAATTAACCACGATGGCGAAGTTAACCGCGCTCGATACATGCCACAGAATCCAGTCATAATTGCAACCAAGTCTCCCAAGGCTGAGGTAATGTTTGAACTATAACTCGAGTGTGGTTTGCTAAGGCAGAACGCGACTTATCCGAAGCGGGCGCGGGGTAGTCCTAGCGAACCACGCCCCTATAACTCGAGCAAACCTAGGGAATAGTGAATTTCTAAAACAGTAAAGACAATTACTCAGCTTTGTTTGGTCAGATATGTGGCTAGGTTTCAAATAAAATTAGAGAAGTGGTTTTCCATGAAGAAGCTCTCCGAAAGGGCTCACAGTTGTTCAAGGCCACTCGTTTTACGAGAGGATCTTATGCATAATCGTTGCAGGTTTTCGTTTTCGACTACACTAAACACTCATCTGTTCCAAAAGATAACCAGTGTAAGCCTCAATTACGGCTCCGTGGACATACGAAGGAAGGTTATGGTCTTTCGTGGAATCCTAACAAGCAAGGACACATTCTATCTGCTTCTGATGACATGACCGTAAGTATATGTTGCTATCTGTGCTTCTCAGCATGGCATTCTTGGATTTTCTGTTCCTTTTTTTGTTATTGGTTCACGCCTCTAAAATTTATTGCATGTTATTGCTTAACTTCTTTTGTAGTTTCTATAATGTTTGAAGCTTCACTTCATTTAGGTATGTCTGTGGGATGTCCAAGCAAACGAGATTAGTGCTGGGTACTTGGATGCAAAGACTATTTTCAAGGGGCATACGCAAGTATGTTTATTTTATTTTCATTTTGAATCATTATCATCTGATTTTCATCATCTCATTTCGAACAATATGAAAAACCTTCAAGCATCATAAATGGCTCGTGCTTCTGCTCCGCCATAGATAGTTTGTAGTTTCGAAACCATTATTGGCGGCCGTATAATGAATTCCTTGCGTTAAGGTCGTCGAAGATGTTGCATGGCATGTGCTACATGAAGCAGTATTTGGTTCTGTTGGTGACGATCACAAATTGATGATTTGGGATATCCGAGGAAATCAGCCTGCACATACAGTTGAAGCACATTCCGCTGAAGTCAACTGTTTATCGTTCAATCCTTATTCGGAATTCATTCTTGCAACTGGAAGTGCTGATAAGGTGCAATCTTTTTTTTAGCTTTCATATAGTGGCTACGAATTTGGTTTTCAAAATTATTACAGCAGTAT